AGAATTGTTATGTCTTATTTGCACCATCTGGATGTTTTGTTCAGGATCTGACGACGGGGAGGCTGATCGGAAGGGGGAGTAAATGTGGCCTCACTTTTACGCTGGAGGAGTTGTCGAGTCGAGCTCCTGTGTCAGTTGCCGAGTCCTCTTCTTGTCCGCAGGTGTCTAGTGGGTCTGAATCTTTGTCGGTTTCTCCTGTTATTTTTTCCAATGAGTCTAGTGATCCTTGGAGTCTATGGCATCGGCGTTTAGGCCATCCAAATTCCCATCGTTTGCAATTTATGTTCAAACAGAATTTACTTGGTAATAAATAAGTTGTTCCTTCGGTCCATCCTGCATGTTCTGGTTGTGTTGAAGCTAAGGCTAAGAGCATTTCATTTCCGTCTAGTTCAACTGTGATTACAGAACCATTTCATCTGGTGCATACTGATCTCTGGCGGCCTGCCCCAACCACATCCCGCAATGGTTACAAGTATTTTGCTCTTGTCATCGACCATGCTACACGGTACACTTGGGTTTACTTCCTTCACTTGAAGTCAGAGCTGTTTGATGTTGCTGTTGAATTCTTGACGATGATTCGCACACAGTTTGGACGGAATGTGAAGATGCTTCGATCAGATCCGGGAGGGGAGTTCAGCTCCACTCCACTGCTTACTTATTACAAGTCTCACGGCATTCTTTGCCAAAAGTCTTGTCCCGGAGTTTCACAGCAAAATGGCGTCGTGGAACGGAAGAATCGCCATACTATTGAGCTCACTCGAGCTCTTTTTCTTGCTGCATCAGTACCCGCCTGGCCGTGGCCACTGCAGTTCGACTGATTAATTACCAAGTAACTCCTGTTCTGCAGAATGTCAACCCATATTTTGCTCTCTATCATACTCAGCCTCCTTATTCTCGCCTTAGGGTGTTCGGGTGTCTTTGTTTTGTTCTTCTCCCTCGTCAAGAACGTGATAAACTTTGTTCTAAAACCTCTCGTTGTGTCTTTTTGGGGTATAGTGATATTCACAAGGGTTATTTGTGTTTTGATCCTTCTCTTGGTCGTGTTCGTATTGCTTGTCATGTTGTCTTCTTTGAGAATGTCATATTCTATGAGTCCTCGTGTAGTCCTTCTGTGCCCGATCTGTTTTCCTCGACTCGCCTCCCTTGCTTTGCTGAAGATGATGATGACGTGGATACCACACTCCCCCCGAGATGCCTCCCCCATCCCCGGGTACAGCAGGTCCGTCACCCGGTTGTATTGACTCTCGTCGCTCGACAACAGGTTGGTGTGTTCAGTTTGGTTCTGCGTTTATATCGTGGCGATGTAAAAAACAGGACAAGGTTTCTAAGTCCTCTACGGAGGCTGAGTACAGGGCTATGTCTGATGTTGGGTCAGAAATGGAGTGGATGCGCCGTCTTTTGGGCGATCTGGGTGTTACGGTTCCGTCTCCGATGGTTCTCCATGTTGACAATACGAGTGCTATTCAGATTACTGTGAACCCAGTTCTTCATAATCGCACAAAGCACATTGAAGTCCACGTTCATTACATCCGTGACCTGGTTTCGACAGGTGTTATTCAGCTTCGCTACATTCCTACTAAGGAGCAAGTTGCTGATCTGCTTACGAAATCATTCACTACCAGTCGACATTATTTTCTGTCTAGCAAATTGATGCTTCGGGACCAGCATCAATTTGGGGGAGGCTGTTAAAGCCCATAAGCGTGAGCTGGCCCATGCATCTGGCCCATGCAGAGGACGTGTCATTAGGGTTTCGGTTGATCCCTAATGATGCCGAGTAAGGCCATATATATACTTGTAATTGTAACGTGATGGTTAACTAAGCAATATGATCAGTAGCTCGGAGGGTCTTGAGGCGCCGTTGACATCGGGCTGTTCCGGAAGGCCTCCGTGATGAGCTTGACTCAGGGCTCCGATGAGGAGGCCGGCGATGGTAAGGACGGTGATGAAAAGTACTGGAGTGGGCTCAATTGAACACGCCTAGGTTTGTTTCTTCAGCAACATCAATTTTTTGTTTCAGTCTGATTTCTGTAAGGTCCATTGTCAAGAACATTCCATTCCAAGAAAACCTTGATCTGAACAGATTTCTCTTCGGAATGCTTAAGCTTTTTGCTTGTTGGAATTTTGAGCTCTGTGTGTATGGATGGTCACATTGAGAGTGTGTATTATTTCATTTTACTGCATTGATTAGTATTATAAAACCATTAATAATGATAGGTATATCATTAATAATTCATTTCATAAACATTAATAATGTAATTATAAGTAGTTGTAATAGGCCATGATTAGTTAGTTAAGAACCTGACGTGATAACGTGAACCGTTAATAAGGATGTTGTAAATCAATAATAGTGTTATTGAAATCATTAATGATAAAGTTACATAACTATAATAATTCATTTATAAGTGTTGATGAGAAAATGTAAATCGTTCAAAAATCAATATAAAATTGTTAATGATCTTAAAGCATTGATTAATTTTGTGCAATTCCTCAGAAAGTTTTTATTTTAGTTTCGAACAAAATACAACATTGCTTTAAATATTTGTGTGCTTGTTTTCAATGAAATACAATTTTGTTATCAATGATTTTATCTCTCGATATTGAATATTGAATGCACTATGTCACAAGTATTGAAGTTCTCAAAAATAAGTATTGTGTTTTATGATCACTTAGAACGATAATGTAAAGCGATATCACTAGATCAAATCATTATCAATTTTTGGAATGCATTTTCAACACAATGCCAATATATTTTGCTTTCCATTTGAACCTTTTACAACAACGTTGTTAACGTTTTTTTTATATAGGTAGTGTTAATGACTAGCTATATGATTATTGACGAGTGGGTATATAAGCGTATCAATATTTGAGAAATAATTATTAATAATATGCAATATGATTAACAATCATTAGATATGATCATTATCAATGATTTTAAGAAGAGAATTATTAATAATATGTAGTATGATTAACCACCATCAGATATGATCATTATCAATAATCTTATTTTTATACATAAGCGTATCAATAGTTGAGAAAGAATTATTAATAATATGTAGTAGGATTAATCACCATTAGATACGATCATTATCAATTATTTTGCTTGCTTTTTAAATGAAACGTAAGTTAGGTATTAATAGTTTTATATGTTTATTAATATTTTGAGAAGAGAATTATTAATAATATATACAATGGTATTACTCATTTAGATGCAATCATTATCAATGATTTTGCTTGTATTTTCAACGCCAACACAACTTAGTTATTAATGATTAAGAGTGGCATTTCAATATTTCGATGTAAACATTTATAATATTAAAAAATTGATAAATATATTGCAATCATTAATAATGATGAGTATATCAATAATAATTAATAATAAATTTAATAAATGTTAATAATACCATTGCATATTAGTAATGATATTGTAAGCCGCTATAGAAAGAGAAAGTGGACATTTTATTTTAAAATTCATTTTAAAAACATTAAATATCAATTTCGAATTTGTAATTGTAATATCCATATTAAATAGTTGCGGAATGTAGGAGAGAGATGGGTTTTCTTTAATTAATAATGAAATTAATTAGTAATTATATTCCATTTCTGTCCTTGTAGGTAGTTAGTCAATGATTAATAATGATTATCTCTCTCCTCCTATTGGCTGTAATGGTTTTAAGATCCTCCTTAAAGAAATGTAGCTTAAGGACTGGATCTAACCCGAGAATTCATTAGGTTCCAATTAGTTAAGCAAATATATGATATATCACATAAAAAACAAAACGATAAAGACAAAGGCCATCAATGGTATTTGTTCAATTGCATATCCTATATGGCACTCAATATGCAATTGCAAAGGGGATTGCATTGATGTAGTGCCCACTTGCAAAGGTACAAGTTTTCATTAAACGAAATTCAATATGCAATCCATATAGGAAAATAATAAAACAATAATTTATTCTCTCTCTCTCTCTCTCTCTCTCTCTCGATTTATTTATTTTTATTTATTATAAAGTCACTTATACCCTCATATGCAATTGCAAGTGAATTGCATTGATGTACGTGCAATGAATGGAAGTTGAGTTGGACTGCAGAGAATTTAAGATAACAATTAAAAAATCATATGCAATTGATTTTGAAACCGGTGAAACAATAGCCTAGAACAAAGCGGTATGAGTTAGAGTGCTAACCACCCTTATCACCGTTCATTAGGGGTGGACACGTGGGTGGTTAATCCGCGGATTGATATCGATCCATCCGCAAATAACCCGACCCACAAGCAGTGGGTGATTGATGCAGGTGGATTGCAGATTCATACATCTCCCACCCGCACTTATGTGGGTGGGTGGATTGCGGGTCACCCGAATGACCCGCATCCTATTTTCACAAGAAAAATTACAGTTTTGACTACTATTATTGGTTATTGTGTTGTGGAATATCCATTAGATATTAGATATTGGAATGCAAATTATTGTTAATATCCATTAGATATTGGAATGCAAATTATTGTTAATATCCATTAACTATTGGATGAAAACTTTAAATTATTTATTTTATCAAAATCACAAAATACGTAAGCTTCCTCTAGACAATTGGTTGATAGAGTAGTAAATTTTTTAAATGCAAATACTACATGGATTCATTTGAGAAAAAAATGAGAAGTGTTTAAATTGATGCAGTCTTACTAATTTACTATAAACTTATTATAAATTTTAGTCAACTATCTTAATGGCTAGTTGGAGAATTGCTCTTGCGGGTTAACCCACGACCCAACCGCACTCATTCGCCACCCACCCAACCCGACCCGCAGAAGAATGTCGGTGAATTGCAGGTCATAATTATTCCAACTCGCTAATAAGCGGGTGAGTCAATTTGAAATGAAAACCAACCCAACTCGCCCATTGCCCACCCCTACTGTTCATTATTATTAATGTAATCTCACAATGGAGAGTAGTGAGGGGCGTGTTTAGTATTATAGAAAATTTAATTAAATAAATAAATTAAAATTTAAAAACATATTTCTCTCCACTCATAAAGAATTTTTACGTTGAAGAATAAACACAACTGAAAATTACTACTACTTAAATTGGTAGTGACTTAACAAAGATGTTGTATTGATTTTATGTCCCCTGGTAGTAATTTTATTATCATAAGTAGCATTTTATAATTAGTAGGTAATTGATTGTTTTACAGAATACTACTAATAGTTATCAAATATCACTGCAAGTAAATAAGAATCTTTTTTTTATAGTGCAAGTAAATAAAAATCACTACTAATACATATAAAATCACTACTACACGAAAAAGAGATTGAAAAGAAAAAAATGTGCTTCGGAGCTCTCCCCTCTCTCCTCCGTCAGGGGAGAGAGCTTGGATATCTCCTGGCCTCCATGATCAACGCGATCTTCCCGAGATGTCTTCGGAATCAGGGCGTCCATTGTGTGTGGTCGCCGGGTGCTCAGCAGAGCCGTTTACCTACAAGATTAGAAGGTAAGGTTTGTTCTAGTATGCCGTCCAAGAATGCTTTGCAAGGACGCAGAGGCGTTTACCGGAGCAGGTGTGGCTTGGCGGCTGCAAGTTCGTGCCATCCAAAGGATGGTCATCGAAAGTGGAAGCTTGGGTTTATCCTGGCTGAGAACTTTGTTCTTGATAACATGAAGCGAAAAAAACTAGCCAAGATAGCAGTTTGGCGATTCGTCATCCCTTCCATGGAGGATTGGGAACCTGAGGCACATGATCAACTTCCGGAGCCGTCAAATTTGATGGGGTCTGTAACCGGAGTATATCCAGTCTCAGAGGCTTATTTTAATGGTGCGCGGTCAGAGGTTGCCTCGCAGAAAACCGATGAAAAGAATCTGTTCGCTGGTTCATGTCCAGTGGACTTACAGCTGGGAGAGGAGTCCCGACGTTCGCTGATCAGTGTCTCCGGTGAGATTTGCTGGGCCGCCTATCAGCCCAGAGTTGGCTTCCGATTTCGTCGGATAGCAGTTGGGGGGATATTTATTAAAAATCTTTTTTCCAATTCCGTTGGGATTTCTCCTCATTTGGGTAGAATTCCGAAACGGGTAAAGAAGAGTTCCTCTTTGAGGCGAACTCAACCTTCTGTTACCTCTGTGATACCGAAGATCACTGGGGGAAGATTTGATCACCACTATAAAGGACTAGCTTTGTGGCCGACTAATCTCACTTTTCCTTTGAGAATTCTGTCGACGACAAAAACGGTGGTTGCTCCTTCTTCTCCCAGGCGCGCTTTCGGCACAGGTATGGTTCTTGATTCTCATCAGTGTAGTTGCAGTAGCTATGTTACTATCGTCAATCCTCAGAGCACAGGGCCTTCTCTTGCTCTGGAGACCCTCTCTTGTGAGCGGGAATCGTACCCATTGAAAGGCTCGAATGAGCCTGAGCTGTTCGCTTTTTCGCAGCTGAAGTTTCCCTTGGTTTCTAACCACTCTTCTTCGCAGGACAACATCATGGACCATATTTCGAATGACCAAGTAGTTCAGTTTTCAATGGAGGAGGTACAATGTTCAAGGTACCGTGCTGCACACTCTCTACTTGGTCGGGTCTTCACGGAGAACAGAATCTCCACTACGGAGCTCCGGGAATCTATGATTGCTCCATGGCTGATTCAGGGGCGAATCCGAGTAGTCCAGGCAAAGCATGGACTTCTTGAATTCATGTTACCGAATGAGGAAGCTAAGACTACGGACACCATGGGTTATCAATGAAAAGATCATCAATCTTCGGGCATGGGCACCGATCATCACGAAGCAGACTTATGATGATCTCGCTGTTGCTCCGTTTCGTGTTCAGCTGTGGAATGTCAAGGAAGACTGATGCACACAACAGTTCGGGAGGAAAATGGTGCAAAACACTATTGGGAAGGTTCTAGAGTCAGGGGTGTTTGCCTGCCAAGACTCGGGTTGCTGGTTCGTGAAGGTTAAGGCGCTCATTGACTTCTCCAAGCCTCTCCGATCACAGATCCTTGCAACAAATGATGAGATGGGTTGTTTCTGGGTCAGCCTAAAATATGAACATTTGCCGAGTTTTTGCTTCCATTGCGGCCGCATGGGGCACTCAAGCCGATCATGTGCCTTCGACCCTCCAGCCCAGAAAGAGAAGTTCGGTCCTTATATGAGCACCAAGAAATTGGGGACTCGGATTTATGATACTGATGATCATATCCAGCCTATTCCTCGAGGTGGCAAATCTGTCTTGGTAAACCGAGATTATCAGCTGCAGGGGACTAGCAAAGTGAGAGCTGGACCACAGGGGAAGGAAGAAGTCAGATACCAGAATCCACCTCAATGACAGCTGCAACATTCGGTGGGAGAAATGGCTGCGGTGACGGAGCCTGGGCAACGGCGATCGAGTCCGCGAGGCTTTAAGCTAGCTCGTTCGCCGGTGCTAAGGCTGGGCCGGGCTCGCCCCTCTTTTTCCCCTCCTGCTGTAATCCCGACTGAACAGAATGGCAGCCGACCTGAGGGGAGAAGCCTTGATCGGGGGACGAATGGAAGTGCAGGAGATCGAGGATCTCCATCTCATCATCGGGCGGGGAGTGGAGATGGGCCGAAGGTGCCCCTGACTGTCACTGAAGCTGGGGGTACTAGGGTTGAGGAGGATTCTCAGGCGACCAACATAACTTCGGGGGCTGCTCGACGGCGGAGACTGATTATTGAGGACTGGGAGGATGAGGATCCCCTTCCTGCGCGGGCGGTGAAGACTGACGAGGCGGAAGGGGAAGCGGCTGAGCAAAAAGGCCGTGGCTCGTGTTGGGCCGGACCTGACTCCAGCCCGCAGAACCTCTGCTCGCAAGGACAAGGGCGCGTCAACCCGGCCCAGTAAACCAGCTCAGGTGTCGCGCAAGAAGAAGGGCCTGGCCCATTCACCGGTTGGGAAGAGAGCTGATGCCGCGAAGGGGGTTGCTCCTGCCGCCAGTGAGGCTGCGAGGGCCCAAAGCCCGGCCCACCCACCTGTTGGGACGAAGCTGGGTTCCGAGAAGGCTAGTTCGTCTGCTGCTATAGGGTCCGTGAAGGCCCAAAGTCCGGTGGCCCAGGAGGGGACTCAGCTGGTTGATGACCCTCCCGTGAATAAAGGGTGGGCGTCTCCTACTGATTCTTCCTCGGAAGAGGATGCTCAACAATTTGTGATTGAGAATCGCCCCTTGATAATGGAGCAGCCTACCCAGATTCTCCCGTGGCAAGTTTGTCAGGTGGTGGTGGCCTTCGAAGCTGGTATGAGTATTAATGAAGAGAAGGGTATAGCGAAGGAGACTGAAGGGGACTTGCGTACTTACCTCAAAGAGTACGGGTCTAAATTGGTGACCGGAAGTCGTAAGCGTCCTCTAGAGGAGTTGGAGGGTGGTCTGGAGGCGAGCCCCTCACCCAAAAAGCAATTCATAGAAGAACAAGAGACTATTGATACGGTGGAGGAAGCCAGCCGTGAGTGGCCCCAGGAGGTTAAATGAAGATTTTGGCTTGGAATGTGAGAGGAATAGGACCATCCCTCACATTCCAAACAGCTATTGGTTTGGTTCATTCGAATAAACCGGACCTTGTTTTCTTTTCTGAAACAAGATCGTCCCGGAGAGTAGTTACCCGGCGTCTTCAAGGTTTAGGGTTTGAGTCTTCTGATTGTTTCTTTGTTGATGCCATTAATGGTGCTGGAGGTCTTGTCGTAGCTTGGTCCCCCGGAGTGGATACTTCGGTGTTTTTCCATTCTAGTTTTTGTATTTGTTCGACTATTAATGATAATGGTTCTTCGTACGTGGTGCTTTGTGTTTATTTGAGTTGTAATGCTTCTGTGCGTGCAAATCAAATAACTCGGATTCATGAGATATGTGATAGCCTCATTCTTCCATTTGTGATCATTGGGGATCTAAATGTTACTCTCAATGCCGGTGAAAAAGATGGCGGTAACCCTTGGAATGCTGCCCATTCCATGGACCTTAGAAACTTGATTCAAGATATTGGGCTGCATGATCCTGGTTTCCAGGGAGACCTGTTTACCTGGACAAATAAACGGATGGGTGAAGCGTGTATTCGGGAGAGACTAGATAGGGCCCTTTGTTCTCAATCTTGGATGGATTCTTTTCCCGAAACACTTGTTAAGCATTTCACGGATCAAGGGTCTGATCACCGGGCTTTGCTTCTGTCTGATAAACCTTATGTCAGGATGTGCCATCCTCTCTTTTGGTTTGATGCTCGCTGGGCAGAGAATCCGGAGGTCAAGGCCATGGTAGCCTACGTTTGGCAGGAACAAAGTCATGGTACTACGATGTTTCAATTATGGGAGAAATTGAAGAAGCTTCGTCATCTTCTCTATGACTGGAGTCGTGCGGGGACCACGAATTCCCTGCGCAATATCCATGCTTTGAAAAGTGAGATTGAGAGGATTAAGGCTATGCAGCCAATCAATTGGCAAGAAGTAGCGGGGTTTGAGGCAGAGTTATCTAGGCAGTGGGAGGCGGAAGAAGAGTATTGGCAGCAAAAATCTCGTGTCCGATGGTTAAAAAGAGGGGATAAGAACTCGTCTTACTTCCACACGGTCACGAGAACTCGCCGTAAAAAAAACTTTGTTGCTGGCCTGTATAATTCCGATGGTGAGTGGGTAACGGAGGAGCGTGGGAAGGCTGCAATAGCCACTGATTTCTATCAAACCCTATTCACGTCGGAAAGCCAGGTTCATAATATGGCTGAGAGGGTGGCGGACCTCCCGATTGTGTCTAGTGTGACACAGGAAATGAATGCGAACCTAACGGCAGAGGTCCATCCTGAGGAGATTCGGAGAACTGTTTTCGGTATGGGTTCGAAACAGGCTCCTGGTTCGGATGGTTTTACGGGGAAATTCTTTAAAGCTTTTTGGGGAATTGTCGGTGATTCAGTGATTGCTGCGGTTAGCTCTTTCTTTGAAACAAGTCGGATTCTCCGTAGCTTCAATCACACCTGGTTAACGTTGATTCCAAAGATGGACCAGGTAGAATCCATGCGGCAACTCCGCCCGATTAGCCTGTGCCAGTTTGTGTACAAGGTGATTACCAAAATTATGGCGGAACGATTGGCAGTAGTGTTGCCTGTGATTATTTCGGAAGGGCAGAATGGTTTTATTCGAGATAGGCAGATTGTGGAGAATATTCTCTTGGGACATGAATTGATGCACTATCTAAAAATTAAAACCCGCGGCAAGAAGGGATACATGGCTCTAAAGGTTGACATGGAAAAGGCCTATGACAGAGTTGAATGGTCCTTTCTTCTTGAGGTTTTGGCTAAGATGGGGTTTAATTCGGTCTGGAGAGGATGGGTGCGGGAATGTCTGCAATCGGCTTCTTTTTCGGTTCTAATGAATGGAGCCCCCTCTAGTTTTTTTAAATCATCTAGGGGTCTCCGGCAAGGGGATCCTCTGTCCCCTCTTCTTTTTGTGCTGTGTACGGAGGGGTTCGCAGCTCTGCTCCGGAAGGCTATTTCGGAGAAGAGGTTGGAAGGGGTCAAAGTTGCTCCTCGTGCTCCCCGAATATCTCATTTGTTCTTTGCTGATGATTCTTACTTGTTCCTCCGTGGATCGCTCCAAGAGTGTGAGAATCTGATTGAAGTCCTGAATGAGTACGAGGAGCTGAGTGGCCAAAAAGTGAACTTGAACAAGTCAGCGGTTTGCTTTAGTAGGAACATCTCCTTGCCTGATCAGGAGTTCTTGGGGGCAATTCTTGGGGTGGGGGCGGTGGGTGTGCAGATAAATATCTTGGCCTCCCTACCTTGATAGCTCGGTCCAAAATGGAAACCTTCCGGTATTTGGAGGATAAGTTGTTAGAGCGCTTACAAGGTTGGAAGCGGAGGACGTTGTCCTGGGCGGCTAAAGAGACTTTGATTAAGTCGGTCGCTCTGGCCCTGCCGCTGCATGTTATGTCCTGCTTTAGGCTTCCCCTTTCTCTGTGTCGTCTGCTTGACAAGCATATAGCTCGTTTTTTGTGGGGAATGGAGGATGGCCAGTCCAAAGTTCGGTGAATTCCTGGAGAAATTTATGTCGCATTAAGCATGAAGGGGAGATGGGTTTTCGTAGGTTTGATTTGTTTAATCAGGCTTTATTGGCTAAGATTGGATGGCGCATCTTGATGGAGCCTCAATCTTTGTTAGCCCAGGTTTATAAATGGAAATACTTCCCCAATGGCTCTTTCCTCTCAGCTACAGCTCGATCTCGTCCTTCTTGGGGATGGCAGAGCATTCTGTTTGGGCGTCAGTTGCTGTCGAAGGGACTTCGTTGGCAAATTGGTAATGGGCAGACGACCTTGTTGCTCGAGTCGAACTGGGTACCTCAGCAACCTAATTACTCCCTTGTGTATAATCCCCGGGTTTTGCCGATGACTGGGGAGGTGAAGGTTGCCGAGGTGATCTGTTCAGGAGAAGGGCGCTGGTGTGAGGATAAACTTAGTCAATGGTTTGATCCCCCAACGTGTAGTGCGATTAAAGCAATCCCCCTTCCGAGGCGGAATATTGAGGACCGTCTAATCTGGCAAGGCACTGCGGATGGTGTCTTTTCAGTGAAGTCGACATATTATATTGCGGTTGGGTTGGATAAGCAGAATGGTCGGTGGAGGGCTCAGGTCAGTTGGATGGATAAGAAAAATTGGATCAGGCTTTGGAATGCCAAGATTCCCCCTAAGCTGAAGATGTTTATCTGGCAAGTCTTTAATAGGATACTCTCGACGACGGAGGCGCTCTTAGACCGGGGAATTGAGGTTCATCCCCGATGCCCCGTATGTTGGGATGCGAAGGAGACAATGGAGCATTTATTCCTGACATGTCCGGTGGCTAGGGCTCTTTGGACTCAGTCCGGTTTGGAGTATCTTGGGGAAGGTTTGCCTCAGGTTACGTTCCCTTTATTTCTGAATAAATTGTTCTCTATCCTGCACCAGCCCACTCATTTCATGCTGATTACTGCGGTACTCTGGAGGATCTGGAAGTCTCGTAACTGGGTTGTCTTTGAAGGTAAACAGTTTGGGATTCCTGCCTTAATGAGGCAGTATAATCAGCAGGTTAATGAGTGGCTTCGGATGCCGCTGGAATCCCAATCCGCTACCGAACATAGCCAGCATCAACCTGGGGTCACGAGGGGTGTTTCAGGGGGGCCGGTGTGTCGGTGGGATGGGGCTGTTCGTAGGGAGTCACACTCG